CCCCCCCCCCAAATTGGTTGACGGTTTGAGTCATAGCCTCTTTATATCCTCACCGTATGAACTATATTTTAGGGCTGAGCGCTCAAGGTCCATTTATGATAACATGATGAAGATGCATGCTCGAATCCTTCAATACCACCTTTTTTCGTGCACACTATGTATTCTTGAAAGCAATGGAATTATCATGAGAAAGCAATATCATTTTTATAAATCCTAAATCAGGAAGTACCTCATGGACTGCTGCACTAGTTCAGCGCGTAAAACAGAGAAGATAGATAAAGGAGAGGAGATTTCCATGAAAAACATTCCATCCAATGAAACAATACAGTAAAATGGGACTCCTATATTTTGCTTCCAATGTTGTTTTATTTTTATGGAATGAGTTTTACTAAATTTCATTCCTGTGAAGGATTTACATCACTGTACAGTGTACTAGAAGCAATCTTAGCAAGGAATAAATGAGCTGATAACACTACAATGCAAGAATTAGACCATACAATGGAATCTACAGGGGTTTAGATACAGATATACATCACTGTACATTGCCTAAAACATGTCCAACCAAGGTTGAATCGGCTGCGAAGGAACTTATCTGAATTATTCAGGCAAGAAAGGTAGGCGAGCAACGCTAGCCCCTCCGTTCCTACCAAGCCATGAGCTGGAATCTGTGCTGTTCTGACTTGAACTGGATCGGGAGCTCTTTACTGAAGTCTTCCTCTGTAGTTTCTGAGGAAGGATTTGAAGCCTTGGGTTTGACTCGGTACCTGAATTTTCTGCAGCCAGCTGATAACTTTCAACCAGCTTGAGTTGTTGGGCAACTATCTCAGAGCGCCTTGGAAGAAGTTCAACAGCCTCCCCACCAGGAATAACGATGTACTCAATTGCAAGGCGAACCTCCTATTATGAACCATCGAGATGTATATTCCATCAATTGAGTTTCTAAAAAACTTAAGTATTATAAGGCTAAATGGAAACCGGAACAATTTCAAGTGGTTAAAGCAGCGAAGAAGAAGCTGCCTCTAATAAAGCAGAAATCGTTTAGTTTTTTTTTTTAATAACTGAGAAACTCCCGAGGGTCAGTGGCGCACAGTTCAAGACTCGGTGAATAATGGGTCAGACTCAACCCTTTTCCACTTAAATACCAGACTCTTGTCTACAGCATGATTCGAACCCGTGACGCGCGCCTAATCCACACATCACGTGTTGCGCTTTTACACATCACGACATATGCTTACACAATAATGGTTTAGTGTTCACAACCCCTAATTATGATTAGTAAGCCACATCTTAGCGAATTGCATGTCTGTTTGAGCAGCTGATTTTCGCATGTCCCATAGCCAACTCACAATATAAGATGACACTAAGCATGTTCTTTTCTCATAAACCGCTGCTTGGCTAGAAAGTGTGACGAAACAACTGCTTTGTTTGTAATCGTCATGCACACTTTGACTAAGTTAGAATTTTGTATATGATTTCATATAACTCCTGCTAGAGAAGGAGAGATCAATTATAAACAAATGGAATGATAGTACTCCTAGAAATGCCACTGATTCACTAGCTTCCTTTATTCTAGCGGTTACCCGGAATTTTTGAGTGATATTTGAGTGAAGACAATATAGAAACATAAAGAGGCAAACCTCTAAGGCATCTATCTCCTCCAATGTTGGTTTCCTTTTTGGTGCATCGTCTTCAATTTCAATATCGAATGCATTTGTTAATGGCTGTTTTGAGTGAATGGAAACCATTCCAAGAATCATACGGATAGCTTTCACCATTTGCGCCATGGTACTTGACTGCATAATAAGAAAAGAAATGGTAATTCGATATTGCAGCTAAATCTTGATTATTGTTTTCCAGTTCCCACCAAAGAGCTAAAAAGGGTCAATCAGAGTAACCAAAGATAAAGACATCTATTCTAATGTAAACTGCACTATAAATAATTTTTAAAGGGTGAACGATGCCCAATAGCAAAATTTCAGTTTCTTCCTCAGAAAAGAATTGATAGTTAGCAAACATCAATGTTATCATTTAGGGTGTGTTTGGTAGGAAGGAAAATGTTTTCTATAGAAAATGATTTCCTAGAAAATATTTTCATGAAAAATGAGTGATTTTATGACTTATTTTCCCTTGTTTGGTTGGTGAGTGGAAAACTTTTTCCGGAAAATATTTTCTAGTGTTTGGTTAGAGAGTAGAAAATATTTTTAGGAAAACTTTTTGTTATGCTACTCTCTTCACTCACCCCCTTCTCCCAAGTCCCCATGTTTCATGTGCTCTCCTCTCCCCCTCCCTCCTCCAAATATCCAACGTTTTCAGAACACTATTTTCTTCAAGAATTTAATTATTCTTCTGAAAATTCACACAAATCCAAAGGAACTAATGTGTTACATTACTTTTTTACGCAAAAATAACGTTTGAAATTTGTGCTCCATAACTAAAAAGAAAATACTCTTTTTTGGGTTAAAAAAGAAAGTACTCTTTCTACAACATGAAAATAAAGTACTTATTTTGTTGAAATGAAAGAAAATATTTTTTCTGCATCATTAAAAGAAAATACTTTTTTTTACATCATGAAAAGAAAGTACTTTTTTTTTGTTAAAATGAAAAAAAAAAATACGTTTTTTATATCATGAAAAGAAAAATACTCATTGTACTCTATCTATAACATAAAAAGAAAGTACCATTAATAATATTTCTATTTAGGTGGGGAGTTGGGGGTTGGGGTTGGGGGTGTGTGGGGTGGGTTGGTGGGGGGTGGGGTGGGGGTGGGTTGGTGGGGATGAGAAATAAGGTGGGGAAGGTTAAAAAAGAGTTTTGAAAAATGTTTTCCCTTCTCTTGATGGAGAAAAATTGGAGGAAAATGAGTTCATGAGGAAAATATTTTCCAAAACATTTAAGCCAACCAAACATGGGAAAATTGGAAAACATTTCCGTAAAATATTTTCCTTCGTACCAAACACACCCTTAATTTCTAGTTTTTACAAAGTCATCATTCCTCAAATATAGAGTACCCTACATGAATTCCATCCAGTTCAGAAAAAATATTTTTCAAAATAAACAAAACTCTGATCAAATATGACACAAAGATGAAGGCCAAATCATATTTCAAACATATAGTTGCTCAAATAATTAAAGCCTTAACAATAATATTAACTGTTAACCAACAGAAGGGAGAGAGGCGAAATGACATGTTGAACAAGAGTAAAGGTGAGTATTAAAGGGGAGGTCCCTTGATTTACAACAATCCATAGGAGGTCAACGTGATTGACCCAAAACAAACAAACAAATATGTAAGTAAAGGGCATTAAGTATACCTTTACAACAAAGACAGGAACTTGATGAAATTTGGCAACACTACGAATCCAAGGATTCTGCTTCATTTCAGCACTAGATGCTAAAATAGCATCCGCAATACCAATATCATCTGTTACTTCAATGTCTTCCTCAAGCCCCATAACGGTTGCAACTTGCAATAGATCAGCATCTTGAATCTACAATGAGCCAGAAAGAGATTAGGCTTGATTCTACACATCAATGTCCAGTATACACAGTATTATAGTATGAGAGAGGTTTGTGCATCCGTGATTCCCAACAATGCATCACAACTTCATGAAAATTCCAACAGTCAAAAGGAATCAAGAAAACTTACCTTATAAGTATAAACATACACAAGAGATTTCCTTTTGCTGACAGATCCATTGGTGCCCAATTTCTTGGAATTGGGATGATCCTCATCTTCCTCATCTGACTCAAATTTTACCTTATTGTTCACAGTGTTGGATTGCAGATAATAATTTACATACTCCCCATCAGACTCTACTTTATCTTTCTTTTTTACATACTCGCCATCAGACTCTATTTTATCTTTCTTTTTTACATACTCGCCATCAGACTCTACTTTATCTTTGTTTTTTACATACTCTCTTTCAGACTCTATTTTATCTTTCTTTTCCACTTTATCAGTTAGCTCAGAGTCATTAACTTGGTCCTCTGGAGCGAACAGAGAAGACTCGATGGAGTTTTCAGCTTCAATCTCCAATCTGCGTATCTCAAACAAAGGAGATTTTCCTGCATCAAGGAAAAGTTAAAATATAGAACTAATATTAGTTGCTATGTGTAGTCCAGTGATTTGACAATGTCAGAAAATTCCGAAAGGGTGGGAAAGCAAAACTCTAATGTACCTGCTAATATTGCATCTACTGTTAAATCTAGTCTATGGTGAACACGACATTCAGTTCTTGATATCATCTCAACTGCACATGTAAAAGTTGGAGGGCCTTTCCTCTCGAGAATTGTTTTCTGCACTTTCCTTTTCCTTGCTTCCTCATCACCAAGAGTGACACTCTGGTCCAAAGCGGGAAAAAAAACAATAAATTAGGTCCAGAAGAAAAATGTTTGCTATGACTATCTGACTGAACATTGTTCTGAGAAACTAAGAAAACATGTTCAAACTTAACATTCAGTTGTTTACATGTGTCAGAATTTTAGTGCGGAGGACCATGTATAAACTTAATAAGAAAGAAGAGAGGATAGGGGTTCGACACCTCAATGCCACCAACAAGCATTTGCAAGGATGGATTTTTTATTATACTCTCAATGGTACTTCCATGAGCAGTTCCAACAAGCTGTACTCCTCTCTGAGCAATTGTACTAGCAGCCAACGCTTCAAGCTCTGTCCCTATTTCATCTATTATAATGGTTTGCGGCATATGGTTTTCAACTGCTTCAATCATTACCTGCTCAATACAAGAAAGAGAAGGGGTAAAAATTAGATTGCAGTTCAGAGGTTATCCAGAAATGCAGCAAACTTGAATGAAATTTAGTTCAGTGCTCACATTATGTTGCAGGTTAACATTTGGGACTTGCATCCTTCTTGCACAACCAATACCTGAATGAGGAACATCTCCGTCACCTCCAATCTCATTAGATGTATCAACAATAACGACTCGTTTCTTCTGGTCATCTGCCAGCATTCTGGCTATTTCTCTGCACACACAGAGAGCTTCAAATTCATTGATGGGTACTAGTAGTGGCGGAGCAACATAGATAGGTAATTTTTTTTTGTTAGGCGTATATATACTATGAGTTGAATCTTTGTGTATTTACTTTTCAAAATTTTGACACCCCTCAGTGAAAATCCTCGCTCCGCTACTGGGTCCTAGTCATTCTTCATTAAAATAATTATAGGAGGAAAGCTGAGTAGTGACAAGTAGCACTAAACAATAACAAGCAATCACTTTGGACGTTCAAACGAAGCAAGCATTAATTTGAATACCTGATTAAAGTAGTTTTACCAACCCCTGGAGGACCTATCACCAATATGGAGCCACCTTCTTCAACCAGATCACGTATGATCTCAGCACTTCCAGATACAGCTCGACCTACCCGGCAGGTAAGGCCAATTATTTGCATTTTCCGGTTTCTAATTGCACTTATACGATGTAGGGAACTGTCAATACCAGAACGGTTGTCATCTGAGAAATCCCCCACCTAATTGGTTAAGCAAATTTATCAGCTCTAAGCAACGAATTTGATAACCGTACATTCATATTATATTTTCTATATATGCACACACAAACAAAAGAAAAGTGATCTCATTTATTTATGCTATTACCCTAATTCAGGTCAAAACTTATGCAGACACACAGAGAGAGACAAAAGATAAGTGCTTTTATTTATTTAATTACTATTAGTTGCATTCGAATCAATGAGTTTTGACTTCCACTCATCAAATAAAACAACTTAAAGCACAAGCTTTAATTTTTAAATTCTACTCTATAAAGGTTTCCTTAGAATATCCTACTACATGACAAGATTGTTACTATATAATACCATAATAAAGTAAATCCTGCCATTTTCAGTTAAATTAGACATATCACAATTGTTTGACTAAGCAAGGAGTTTTAAGGAAAACGAAACACTTTTTAAACTAGTGATCTAAAACAAGTCATAGAGATTTGCATGGCTATAGATAATCTCATAATAAAATGGGAAGTTCAAAATTATATTATTTCTAAATATAGAAAAATATCGTTTTTTTTAGGCAGATCAAAAAAGGAAAGAATATCACATAAATTGGGATGGATAGAGTAATATTTAGTATTTACTTAGACAACCTTTGAAACGGCGTGGCATAGATCCTCAAGCTTTACGGGCTGCTCCGAAATGACCCAATCACCTGAAGGAAATCGGGCAAGGGGTTTCCTTCCCAAATCCATAACCACCTCAATCAATTCCCCAATCTCCTGATGCCTAAAGAGCTCATTTCTCATCCTCAATGGCACTATCTCCAAAAACAAGTCCAAGTCCGAGACCATGGAACTCGAAGTGGAAGTCGAATTCGAAGAAACCAACGACAACCCATTTCCGGCAATCGAACATCCCCTCGGCCTCCTGATTTCCGGCGACTGAATTGACGCCACCGGCGATCTCGACGACGAGACTTTACTGCTCCCACGACGTGTACGACGAAATGCCGCAGTGAACGTGGAACAAGCAAATTGAGGCTGGTTTAAATAAGAAAAGGTTGAATTGGGTATCAGCTTAGCTGAGTACCATGAGCTTTGAAGATCAATCAAGATAAAGTGGGTATTCAAAGCACTCATTCTATTCACCCTCAGCTCACAAAATCCCACTTTCGCTACACAGTGTCTCCTTTTTTTTTTTCCTACTAATTCTTTGTAATATAAATACTGTACAAGATCTTTTATTAATGGGTTTTGGGGAAATCTGACTGGATTAGGGATGAAGAGAAATAGATTTTAGTTGGTAAGAAGAAGATGAGAGGAAGAATTTGAAGAAGATTCGAAAGGATCTCCTATGGTAATGGAGGGTAAGTGGGGTCCATTAACAAGAAACATACAACGACCATGGAGGGGGAAACACGTGGGTGGCTTTGTTTAAGACCACACAAATGAGTGACAGTTTTGAGAGAGCTTGCTATGAAAAATTGAAAATTTTGTTGAAGGGTGAAGTATTCTGTTTTGGCATGTGAATAAGGCGTGCACGCTAATCTTATGAAAGAAGAAAATTGTTACTCCAAAGTAGTACTCCCTCCGTTTCATATTATTTGAGATAGTTTGACTCGGTACGAAACTTAAGAAAAAAGGAACTTTTGAAACTTGTAGTTTTAAAAGCTTAAGGGGTAAAAGGCTCGTGGGGCCAATGCCATTTGTGTGGCTATAAAAGCTTCTCATTAAGGGCAAAAAGGGTAAAATGAAGAGTTTAAAGTTGAATTTTTCCAAATTTAGAAATGTGTCATTTGTTTTGGAACAGACTAAAAATGAAAGTACCTCATTTAATATGAAACGGAGAGAGTAGCACTTTTCTTCTCTCTCTGATTACCACTCATATATTGCGTAGATTGGTCTAAGTTCCATAACAGCTTGTTTGAGTGGTTATTATATATCGTTTCAGAATGTATCGTATAATATAGTATTGTATTGTACTGTATCGTTTTGATGTATATAATGACTGAATAAATTGTATTGTTTGTCGTCGTTTTATGATATCATACACCAAAAATATAAAAAATAAACTTGCAATATTATAAAGAAAAAGTAAGGTACGAGGTAATATTATTATATAGAAAGGTAAGGTAAAGGATAAAATAAGATTATTTAATAATAAAAACAGGGTAAAATGAGAGAAAAACGCAAGGTAACGACGTAATCACACCAAATTTGTCGTTCCATAAAGCAATATTTTTCGTCGCTACGTAACGACGGATTTAACGATACAACGTAATAAAATTTAAGTAACAATCATGTTAGAAAACATAGGTAAGTAACAGAGAATTAAAGAGTTTGAGGCGTGAAAGATCACTATTTTTCAAGAGTTATTGCCCATATATACTTTAGGGATTACAAGTAATTCTCTATCAGGATACAACAAAGCCTGAAACACACGTGCAGATTGAATAATCTACTTCGGATGTCTTCTGTATTTATAGATAAGAAAAGGAGACTTTTCTGAAGAGTTGCCCCTTTTCATGAATAGCCACAACTTTTCTGTTAATTCAAAATTTAAATTTAAATTTAAATTTTAAATAATAAAATGTTGTTCCAAAATAAAATACGAAAATAAGATCTTTATTTAAAGATCCGACTCGGCCCACGCCCAAACCTCAAGTCTAAGTCATATATATCCTTCTAAATATGTCAATTGTTCATTTTATTGGACTTAATGGGCCAAGCTTTATAAAGCCAACAAAATGGCTGGTGGCCATCGAAGTGGGACTCCTACATATTTACAGACTACTCTAACAATCCCCCATTAGTTTGTAATATGTCTCATAATATCATGCATATCGAAAAGTATCGTATATAGATTTGAACTTTCCATTAGTGTAAGTACCTTAAAGTTTGACGAAGTTATTGGTATCCTAAGATTTGAACCACAACTCCATTTGTCAAACCGAAAGTATCGCACACATAACACTATTAAGTAGCAAAACAATCCGGTATTATCCTTTAGCACTTTTATGGCCATGTGCTAATCCAAATTCATAAATATTTACAAGATCAACTCCTGAAATCTTGTTAGAAGCGGCACCACCTCAATATTCATATAGGTGGAAATAGACTTTTTGTCCCTGTTACTACAGACATTTGCTAATTCCATTAAGAATTAATTCACCCTCATTCTTGTAACAGTATGCACTTGGAAGTTTGTCATTATGTCCCTATTATTACAGATATTTAACAACTCTTAAACTCCTCACATAACAGTAAACAGTACATAGGAATCTAGGCTCTAATTGAGAAGATTCGTACTTAATCAACACAAACAACTTGTTATTACCCATTGAACTTATATTGTTAGATTGTATAATGTATACCAACTCAAAGTTTGGTTCCCATCACTTGTGTTTAATTTAAGAGTTTTAGCCTCATTCCTTCACTAGTTTGTTGTACTGCATCTCTATTTAATGCCTTTGTAAGTGGATCTACCAAAGTCTTGTTTGATCTCACATACACTATAGCTATAGTTCCATTTGTAACTAATTCTCTTATATAAGCATACCTTAAGCTGATATGTCTTGATTTCCCATTATACATTTTGTTGTGAGCTACACATAGTAGTCTCACTATCACAAAATATGAAAATGGCTGGCATAGGTTGTGGCCACAACTTTATATCTAGTAACATATTTCTTAGCCATTCCGCTTCTTTTCCAGTAGTTGCTAATGCAATAAACTCGGATTCCATAGTAGAATGAGAAATGCAAGTTTGTTTCTTGGATGCCCAACTAATGGCACCACCCCCAAAGTAAATATCCAACCTGAAGTAGCCTTACTATCATGTATATTTGTAACCCAACTCGCATCAGAATATCCTTCTAATACAGTATGAAAACCATTATAACAAACGCCCAATTGTTTTGTTCTCTTTAAATGTCCAAGTATTCTAATTATAGATTTCCAGTGAGTATTACTTAGATTGCTTGAAAATCTTGAAAGTTTACAAACGGCAAATGCTATATCAGGCCTAGTGCAGTGCATAACATACATCAAACTGCTAATTGCACTTGCATACTCTAATTGAGCCACTGTTTTTCCAGTATTTTCGGTAAGTTTGATACTTGAATCATATGGAGATTTAGACTCCACTATACTCAGATGACTGAACTTGGTAAGAATCTTATCAATGTAATGAGTTTGTGATAAAGTCACTCTCTTATCACTTCTTTGAACCTTGATACCTAAGATAGTATCTACTTCATCCGAATCTTTCATTTTAAAGATTGATGTTAGATACTTCTTAGTTTCAGAAATTCCAAGCATGTTCGGACCAAAAATCAACATGTCGTCGACATAAAGACAAATAACAACTCCATAATCTTCTGTAAACTTAGAGTAAATACATTTGTCTGCCTTCTTATGTACGAAACCATTTGATAATATTATACTATCAAACTTTTCATGCCACTGTTTTGGTGCTTGTTTCAAGCCATAAAGAGACTTTATAAGCTTACAAACTTTATGTTCATTACCAGGAAGAACAAATCCTTCAGGTTGTTTCATATAAATTTCTTCACTTAAATTTCCATTTAAGAAAGTAGCTTTAACATCCATTTGATGTACATATAGATCATATATAGATGCCAATGACAAAAGTACTCTAATAGATGTTATTCTTGCAACTGGAGCATATGTATCAAAGTAGTCAACTTTTTTTTTGCGTGAAGCCTGTTGCGAAGGTTTGCATAGAACCGTCTGTATTATATTTTCTCAAGAATACCCATTTACAACCTATAGGTTTAGATCCAGCAGGCAAACCAACTAAAGTCCAAGTGTTGTTGGACATAATTGAGTCCATTTCATCATTGATCGCCTCAAACCAACTAAAGTCCAAGTGTTGTTGGACATAATTGAGTCCATTTCATCATTGATCGCCTCTTTCCAAAAAGCAACATCTCTTGAAGACATAGCTTCTTTGTATGTTCTAGGATCTTCTTCTATACTAAACAAAAATAGGTATCTGATTACATACTTTAGTTCTATCTCCCTCCACTAGAAAAACTATAGATTCTGAAGATATAAAATCCGGATCAAGAGCTTTTTCTTTTCTAACTCTTTGGCTTCTTCTAGGCTCTAATTGAGTATTGTCACTTTTCCTTTTATTTAAAAACGTTTCAGAATGTGACATCTTTTATGTATCATGACTATGTCATGACCCAAAATACGACCCGTTGTGATGGCACCTATCGATGATACTAGGCCAGCCGGCATTACCAAAACGCTTTCAACAATAACTAGAATTAATCAAGACACTTAAAAATAGCTAAAATCATTGCCATAAAATGGGGTGAACCCCAAAACATAAGTGCGGAAATAAAGCCCGACATTGTAGTGTCACTAGCCATGAGCATCTAACATAACCGATCCAAAATTAACAAAATTAACATAGTCTGGAATCCAAAATACAGAAAAATAAGGAAAGATAGGGAAGAAGAAAGGATGGATGCGAACGCCAGTAGCGAACTCGCGATCACCAATGACCATCTACGAGTACTATCAACAACCTCCACGTCCAACAGCTCCTGGATCTGCACACGAGGTGCAGGGAGTAACGTGAGTACACCAACTCAGCAAGTAACAATAATAAATAAGGAACTAAAGATAGTGACGAGCTACGCAATTTTAGTTCATTTTCAATAATTTCAGAAAGGAAAATAGTCATGCTTCCCAAATTCCGATAATTTAAGTCAAATCAGTTTATTCGGTCAAGTTCAAATAAAACCAGATAAGAATATCTTTCAACAGTTTTCAAAACATGGAAATAAGGCAACTATGTGCATCAATAATGTAATCATATACTACCTCTCAAACAATCATCTCTCAGTCCTCCCAATCACTCCAACCTCACAATCACTCAATCCTCCCAGTCACTTATTTCCTCACCATCACTCAGCACTCGGCACTCGGCACTCGGCACTCGCACTCAGTAGGTACCTGCGCTCACTAGGGGTGTGCAGACTCCGGAGGGGCTCCTTCGGCCCAAGCGCTATAACAAGCCAATCATGGCATAAATCAATCAGGCCCTCAGCCTCACTCAAGCATAAATCAATAAAACATGCTGCGACGTGCAACCTGATCCCATAAATATCCTCACAATCAGGCCCTCGGCCTCACTCAGTCATCAATCTCTCAAGTCTCTCGGGCTCTCAGATATCAGGAAAATCAGCCCAAACAGCAATAACATGATGCATCGAACAGAATAACAGAGGCTGAGATATGATATGCGAGTAAAAACTGTGACTGAGTACAAATAACATTTAACAGGCAATTCAACATGTAACGCGGCCCCTACGGAACCCAACAGTGCCAACATATAGTCTAAATATGGTTTCTAACATGATTTACAGTAAATCTTTCATAACACATAGAAAGCATATAGCTAACAGCATGTTATTCAACTTTA